CGGGGCTGCGCCCTGATCACGCCCGTCACGTCCAGAGAGACATGATACAAGGTTGCGTTGCACAGGCTGTTGATCATGAGGCGCTGAGCGGCGCCGACAACACGCGCTGTTCCGCGGGATATATGCCGCGGGATGTAGGCCCGGCGCACGTATCGACAGCGGTGAGCGGATGATCTTGTGGTTTTGTAAAATAGCAAAACATATGGCCCAAGGATAGAGAACATGGGTCCCAATAAAAGCAATGTGCCTAACCCTAACCCTAATTCTAACCCTAACCTATTATATTGATATAATATTAGATTTATATTGATGTAAATAACATTGGTTTTATTGGGACCCATGTTCTCTATCCTTGAACGAAACATATACCCGGCATTATACACTGTACTGTAGTCTGTACATATAGTAATTAGTATACTGTGGCGGTGGTACCGGTTCACGGTTGCCGCAAGCCGTGTGCTTGCAGGGGTTGAGCTTGCCCTTGGGGTATTAAATGTTGTGTTTGTAATCGGTTCTTTGTTTGTAATGTCTTTATGTGTGTTTCATGTGTGTTTTGTACAGTGTTTTGTAACGTATCGCAGCAATTACGCACTAACCGGCGGATTCGATGGGGGCTGCCATTCGTTGCGGTTTTAACCCCCTCTAGCGACCGAGAGCGGCGCTAGCGTAGGAAACAGTAACCTACCACCAGGCTAGCCGCCACCAGCCCAGCTGCTGTCGGGCGCGCGAATTTGCGATTCCCAAACCGAGAATAGAAGAGAAATTGCTATGGAAGAAAAATTGAGCAACGCGATGGGCTAGAAAATGTTTAGGACACGCCCACTATCACACGCACACCATCGGCATCGCGCATTTTGCACAGGGGCTTATTTATTTTATTTCTTATTATTTTTGGGTAATTTTGTTTTATTTTAGAATTAGTGTTACGGTTAGGATTAAGGTTAGGATTCGGGTTAGGGTTGTGGTTAATGTTAGGGTTAGGGTTAGGGTTAACTGATTTCTATATCTCCAACTTTAGTATCTGTGTGAGTGGGTCAACGCTAGACTGTTCGCTTGTGGTTTTATAAAATAGCAAAACATATACCCATCATACACTGTACATACTAATTCTGTTACGCTTGCAATAGGTGTTTTAGGGGCGAGGGCGGTTTGGGTCATGGATATGGCCCAGTCATATGTATTTAATAGAAAAGTGAAATGCAAGCAAATTAAAGCAAACATGATTAAGTTATCTAAGAACTGAAACAAAGATGAATAATTAAGGCATCTAAGAAGTCAAACGTTAATTTTAAGATAGAATACAGTCAATTAAACGGAGTTTAACGTGCGCATTGCAAACGACCAAGGGCGGTATGAGGGATTGAAATAACTTCTTATACCAAGTATAATCATAGGCATAGACCATAGACTTCTAATATGTATAATTTCATAAATAGGTCGATCATAGGATATAACATTAGTATACAAAATTGCCAAATTATGTCGAATCTCTATGGAACTATATAGATCTATGTGGTCGATCCATGGGGGTGACAAAGAGGCGGCGGGTATGGGTGTCCTCCCCGCGAAGCTTGGCTAAATCTTGAAAATGTCGATCGCAGAAGATGG